GACTTCATAAATTTCTCATGTCTCATTGTCTGAAGTCGTATCAAAGAAATAAAATCAATGCTAAATTTATTCAGCCGTACGAGACTAAAAAGACTGCGGAACCTGTTGATGTAGCCATCGGGACCTCGCAACAAGTACTTAGTCAGTATTCTTAATGTGCTTCACAATATCGTCTTCTAAGCTGTAGGTTTTTTATAAGTATTATGGCTGCGCTTTCTTTAAGGAATGACGATTCCAAAGAAAAATTGCAGAAGATGGGATTTGTTAAACTCAGTTCTTATTCTTACAATATAAATATTACATGTTACATTCAAAGGATTCATTTCCGTCAGTAGTATTCTAACATTCTCATAGTAATAGTCGACTTGTCTATTTATATTTACCTAATTATATTCTATCCTATTTCTTCACAACCCTATCTCCCCATCTCTCAATACATCCTCTATACTTAACCCTGGTGATTTACTCGATAACTTTAACTGTAAAATTTCCCCAACTTCAGCACAGACCCTCAATATCTCATCTAAATCCTCCTTAGTATGAGCAGCACTCACGCAAAACCTCGCTCTAGAAGAAATGATGGGGGTTGCGGGATAGCCAACGACTACAACTGCAATCCCTCTCTTCAACAATTCCCTCGAAAACGCCGGAATCTTGGCCGGGTTATATAATAATAATGGTAAAATAGGCGAGTCTCTGTCTCCGTACAAAATAAACCCTAATCTTTTCAAATTCGTGCCCAGATACCTCGCATTGAAAGCAAGCCTTTCCAGTCTTTCTCGTCCATTTGTTGTGCCATCTTCACCCATAATAATGGTCATGGAGGTGTATATTTGCTGGAGAACTATCGGAGATATAGATTCCGCATATATTGATGAATAGTTGAAAAGACGAAGATGGGAGATTATTTCCGGAGACGCGGCAATATAACCTCCGGCTGCTCCGAAGGATTTGGTGAATGTACCCATGAGAATGTCAACTTCAGACGGGTCTATGCCGTAGTAATCACATACTCCTCTCCCGCGAGGTCCCAAGGCTCCTATACTGTGTGCTTCGTCTACGTACAAGTGGAACTGACGAGTAACGGACGGTCATTGTATTAGTAAGTCTCTGATATCAATATTAACGCTTGCTGAGGTTATCTAATTACGAGATGAAAATGGCGCTCGGGGAATCTTTCTCCGGGCATTGCTTGATGGAGCCTTGATTCTCTCCGGAGATCATGC